AGCTAGAAGTGGTGGAAATCTTGGGAGATAGTGATTGGTTCTTCACTTTCAAGAGGCTTTTGGAAGGTATAAGGCTACAACTTCCTATTCTCTTGCTTAATCTTGCTAAGTTTGGTATAGAAGCTTTTAATCTTGGCTTGCTATGGTTGATTTCGTAGTTTTGATGGCGTAGTGGAATTTTCAGCTAGGGTTTGCATTTTTCAACTTTGATTATTAATGTTTAGCTAGCAAATGTTGTTGTTGAGTTTGGAAATGGAACTTGTGAAGTGATTAGAGGCATGCTTATTCCTTTTTATAGTTGAAAGTTGCATTTCCAGCATTTGGTGGTCAATTTCAGTTTTGCCCTGTTTTTGGACTCAACTTGGGCTGCGAATTTCTCCATGTTTTAGACTGAATCAGCTTTTGGACAAAACATGAAAGTTATAGGGGTTTGAGTTAAATTTCTACCTGCAAAATTTCAAATCAATTGGATAATTTTAACTTATGATTTGGTCAGAGTACTCCTGACTATGCAAAAACTCTAATTTTCCTGACCTGTTTTTCATGTGTTTCGGACCGTCCATTTTTTACCCTGAAAATGCGAGAAATGGATGTTGATGTCTTCATAGGAAATGTAGGTCTATGTCTTAGTTTCGAACTCCATAAAATTTACCTCAATCCAATATACCTAGCTATAGTTATGACCAAAACACCGAAAGATGACAAATCTATCATTTCTAAGTTCTTCTTTAAACTGGTTTCCAGCTTTGGTCCATGGTGGTATGTTTATTATTTGGTTTGTTTGGTTGGTTTTGAGGCCTTGAATAGATGTATATTGTTGGTTATCACTTATGGTTGGATTGAAGGTTTGTTGGCTTGTGAATCTAAATTGTATTTGGATGGGAAAATGGATAAATACAAAGGGCATGTTGCCCACATTTTCGCTCAAGGGTTAGGCGAGTGAACTCGAAACTTGAGTGACGACTCGAGGTTGAAGCGAACCCCGATTGTGTATGGTATTCAATTTTTCTTTAGTAAGAGGTACATAAGCTGAAATTTTTTGCCGAAACTTGTACCCTTTAAAAAGTAAAAGTAGCGACCCTTAAAAATACGATTTTCTCGATTTTCATACCAAATGCAACTTTCAAAGTATAAATCACTTCTTTATCGAAACTAAAAGAGCGAGCATGAATTTTCTAGAGTTTGCCAAGTCATATGACTACTACTTAAACAAGTTTCATTTACTTGATTTTCTTGAAGCGAAACTCCTATATTTCGAACCCTAGTGGATTTTAAACTCTTAAATGATATTTTATTACAGATTTGGACTCCCACCACGGAGTTGTACCTGAGCGTGATTTTGACAAGCACTAAGTCTTTGGTAAGAGCTTCCAAATACATGATTGAATTTTATTGGATAATATTTACTTGGTTTTGTCAGGCAAGGGTGTATTTTATCGCACTTGCTCTAATGTGATATATACTTATTTATTTGTTGCAATTAACTTGATTACTTGCGTATGATGTGCGCACTCTCTGAAATTCCAGAAACCCTATGGCTAGTTACTCGAGTCAAGCCGACAAGGGTCTGGTCGATTAGGTAAAGAACCCTGGGTCTCTTGTTTTGTCGAGTAGAGTGTTATCTCCTCAACTAATCAGTATGCTCGAGTATTACCATACGTGTTTATCTTGTCGTTCGAATCCGGTAAGGGGGATGATTGGTGGACGGAGATTGAAGTTAAAGTGGTGTACTACTAGATTGGTTACTTTACTTGAAAGTTGATGGAGTGTCAACTACTACTTGATCAAGCTATGATGAAGCAACGGGAATTTAGCTCTTGAGAGCCATTTGTATCCTTATACTTTGAAATGATTATTACTTGTCGTGTTATTGTTTCTTTTATGAACTTTTACACTCGTTCATTTTAAGAGTTCAAGTTTTATATATGGCCAACTTGCTACTTGGGTCTGCATGAAGTTTTGGAACCTCAATGAGTTTTAACTCACTCTGTTCTGTTAAATTTGTTTTTCTTACAGGGGGTATGAGCGAGGGCGTGAGACTGGTACAAACTAACATAGTCTAGTTTTTGAATTTTTGTTATTGTACTCGCACTATTGCTCGGTTAGGGTTGAATGTATTTGGAATTCATATCTTTTGTTATATTTGGGATTATATGAATGTTTGGAATAAAGATGAATGTACATGTACGTTCCAAACTTGGGAACTATTATTCCATTTACTCTTGAGGTTGTGAATTATTTTATTTGAAGTGAGTGAGTGAGTCCTGACGAGAGTTGGGCAGGTGGTTCGCTAAACCCTGGGGTACGCCCTAGGAGGAGGTGGGGTCATCACAATTGTGACTGTGCATGTCTCAGGTGGTCACGAGGACGCCGAAGAGCTCGTCTGACTTCTCGCTTTACTCTTGTTTTGCCCTTGACTTGTGGTGAGTGTCAAGTGCATGTTAAATACTAATGAGATTGAAATGATATGTGTACAAGTGCTATATGATACATGAACTTGTCGAGATAAGGGTGTACTTTATTGCCCTCGTCCTCTCTTTCTTGTGAATGAATGATACTTGTTAAATGATTGTATATGACTTGCACTTGTACTTGAAATATATTAAGTCATAAGCACTGAGTGGCTAGATGTATCACGCCCTATTCGGGTGGGAGGTACCGCTCATCCCGACTTAGTACTATGAACGATTCAAAATCGATTAAAGCGTTGTCTTGTCGATCAATTATACTTGTGCGGATGCTCCAACCCATTGGCTAACCTTGTAACTCGAGCCGGCAAGGGTTTGGTCGAGAAGCTTGGTGAACCTTGGGAAATTATATAGCTTGATCTTTTGACATCTCGCTAGACATACTCGAATAGTATCGCCACTTCATACATGTTTGGTTTCGGATCCGAGTGGGTGTTATGTTTGATGGACGAAATAAGTGGAGCACTACAGTCATGTTACTACTTGGGTTGACGGAGAGTCAGCCCTAGATGGCTCAAATTGATCAAGACGTGAGAATAGCTCCTGAAAGCTCCTGTATCCTCCTTGTGTGTTAATTCCTACTCGTGCACTTAAATGAAATGTTATGTTTAAAGTTGTTTTTAAGCATTATTTGATTGATTTGTATTTCTTGCTTGCTTGTCTGTTTTCTTGGCCTTACTGAGCGTTCGCTCATCCCTTTAAGTTTGTTTTCCTTAACAGGCTTTGGAAGTGGATTGGAGGATCTAGACTAGTGATTTGGTGGAAGCTAGTTTATTTTTGTATGAATTTGGTGACTCTTAAAGTGTAACTTTTGTTACTCTTGGTTGGTGGATTGTAATTATAATTGTTAGCTCTAGAAGTTGTGGCTTGTATATTCGAAGTACTTCTTATTAAGTTGATGGTTCTTTTGTGGTTCTATATTAAGCTTGAATGAGTGCGTGAGCCCCGACGAGAGTTGAACAGGCATCCCGTTGATACCCTAGGGAGAGGTGGGGACGTCACACTTGTGGTCGGACATTTTGCCACAAGAGAGCTACCTCAAGTTTTCTGGCTAGAAAGTATGTAGATCTTTTAAGGTTGAGTAAGGGAGTGATGATTGAAGAATTGAAGGAGAAGATCCATTCGGAACTAAATATACATATCACCATACTAGAAATGTACAAGACATTCATGAAAGCAAAGATCTTAATCCATGGTAGGTATAAATAACAATACAAATGTTATGGGATTATTGTGATGAGCTTTTGAAATGTAATATGGGTTCCACAGTATATATGGAGACAGAGTTAGATAAAAACACACGGAAAGAGAGATTTCAGAGGCTGTATATTTATTTTGAGGCACTATAAGAGGATTTATGTCTACATGTCGGCCTGTGATTGGTGTGGATGGCTGCCATTTAAGAGGCCCCATATCCTAGGGTGTTATTAATAGTTGTAGGGATGGATCCAAATGATTGCCTTTATCCCATTGTTTATGCGGTAGTGGAGGCTGAAAACAAGAAGTTTTGGAAATGGTTCATCAAATTTTTGAAATAGACTTGTCCATTTATGATGAAAGATAGTGGACATTCACTAGTGACCAACAAAAGGTAAACTACATTACTGCTTGTCAACTTAAATACTTGGTTACTTGCTGAATCAATTTTTTTTAAGTTTTTTTATTTTATTTAATAATAAATTAAATTAATCTAAATATTCTATTTTATTTTATTTTTCTTCGAAACTAGAGTTTATGGACCGCAATTTAGGAGGTGCTTCCAGATATTAAGCATAGACACTGTGTCAGGCACCTTCACAACAATTTCAAAAAGTTACATTCGGATGAAGCATTGAAGGAGAGGTTTTGGACTTGTGCTAGATCATCATACATGACAAGGTTTCAAAACCAGATGAAAAGCTTGAGGGAATACAATGAAAAATGCATGGAAATGGTTGACAGATAACACATCACCCTACCATGGCTGAAAAAGTTGCATTTGCCTGATCATTGCCATCTGTATCACTATCTCTATCACCGATTGTTGAAGCTCCCTACGTTCTCGATTCATTTCTGGCTGCAATTGCAATTTCGACAAAGCCCTAGTTTTTGTCCCAATTTCCCCCAATTTATTCTATTTTTTGGAGTTAATCGCATATGTGGAGTATTCGTTCGTTAATTGCAAAAAATTAGGTTAGTGTGATGATTATGCCCCAGCAGGTACACGCGGATTGAGTAAAATGTGATCAAAAGTCCTACGTTAGTAGTAAACAACTTCTTCAAGGACTAAATTGGTTAAAATAATTAATAATTGATGAAATTAGTATTAGGAAAATGTTCAGGGACCAAAATGGCAAAATGCCCAAAAAAGGAAAAATTTTGCATGCGGATCATTTGTTTTTTAAAACCTTACGCAGGAAGCTGTATCAAGGTTCAACTCCCGGTATTTAACCTTTTCTTTTTTTTAAAAAAAAATTTTTTTTATTTATTTGTAAGCCAAAAGGTACAAATTCTTCATCAGAGGGTACAAACACTTTCGAAATTTGAAATGAACTAGCGCCGTCTTTTCTTCCCTCTCTTCCTCTCCTTCTCCCTCGTCGTCTTCAACAAAATCCCCAAAAAAAAAGCAAAATACTTTCTGACTTTTCCTCTTCTTTTCTTCTTTCTTTTCGTCTGATCTAATTAAACCCAAAATTGAAGCATTTTGATGTAATTAAACCCTAAATGGAAGGCAAAGCAGAAGGGCTAAGCTCAAATTTGAGGCTAATAATGGAGAAAGGTCCATTGGAGGGCCAAACCCTAGAGTTCATACCGGGATCCAAGATCCAAGTCGGTCGAATAATTCGCGGGAACACGATTGCCATCAAAGACGCCGGGATTTCTACTAAGCATCTGGCAATTAGTTTTGAAGACAAGTCTGGAAATTGGAGCTTATCAGACCTTGGGTCCTCCAACGGCACTTTTTTGAACGGTAATGGTCTTGAGCCTTTTTCTTCAGTGCAGCTCTCCGACGGCGATGCGATTAAGATAGGTGAGTATACTTCGATCCAAGTTGAAATTCGTGCTACGGTGGAGGCGGAGGAGATTAAAGTGAGGAGAAATCCCACGAGGCGGAGGGCTGGGAAATTAGGGGTGGTTGATGAAAGTAGTGAGTTGCGATTTGGGGAGAAAAATGAGGATAATGAGAATGGGAGGTGTCAAATGGGGAAAGGCGAGGGGGTTTTGGAAATTAGTGAAGTTTTGGGTTCTAAGGATTTGAATGAAGGGGACAATGAGAAAATGGATAATTTAGGGAGAAAAGAGAATTTGAGGAGGACTCGAAGCAAGAACAAGGAGGGAACTTTGGAAGATAAAATTGGAGTTGGAAATGTTGGGGGAAATGAGAATGTGGGGCGAGGCGAGGCTGTGGCAAAATTGAGACTGAGGAGGGGTAGGCGTGCAAAAAAGGAAGAGGGATTAGGGGTTTGTGCAGACACTAATCAGAATGTTGCTGATGGGGTGGAAGGAAAGCAAGTGCAAGTACAGAGTTCGAAGAGGATTACTAGGAATACGAGGAAGGGAGGAAATTTGGAGAGTAAAGAAATAGAAAAGGTTTTGACAATTCCTGCAGTGAAGGATGAGGAAAATATCAGTGTTAAGAGGGTTACTAGGAGTGCAGTGGAAGAGGGAAATGTAGAGAATCTTGAAGAACTGGGTAATAAAAATACCAAGAAAGGTAGAAGGGGGCGGAGAAATTTGAAGGTGGAGACTCCGATTGATACTGTTAAGGAGGAAATTGTAAAAGCAGTTGAGACAATTGAGATAGTGGGTTTGGAGGTGAACAAGGATTATCCAGTGGAGGAGGTGTTGGAAGAGGAGGAAGGTAGAGTTGTTGATGGGATGCTAGTGAAAGGGGGAAGGAATTCTGGTATGTCGGATTCTGGTGCATTGGGACGTTTGTCTGAGGTTAAAAATGGTAATTCGTCCGTGCTGGATTTGGAGAAGATGACTCTAGGGGACTGGCTCGACTACTTGGAGGTCCATTTGCCAAAGCAAATTGTTGACGATACAGAAGAGATGATATTGGGCATGCGACAAAAAGCTGAGAAATTTCATGAGTTTATGATACAACAGAAGAATTCCAAAAAGCAAGGTTGAATTGCTTCTGGAGTAGCTTCAAATAGGATGCAATGAAGAACCTTTGGTAATGACTGACTCCCTTTTGTTCTAAATCAGTTGTATAACTAGTTCTATGCTGATAGTGTTCTATTTACTGATATACATTTCATTCATGAGCCAAGTCTGTCTACATAATAGAGACTTGTATAACCTGATGATGTTGTTTCTTGCACTATGATTGTGATATGCTCATTGATTAACATTTGGTGTGCTTGGAGTGGCATATTAAATGGTTTCCAGCACTATAATAGTATGTTAATAAACAAATGAGTGGCATGAAACAAAGTGGATTGTTTGCAGTGGTTCTTTAAATTGTTTACCAGTTCAAAACATAATGGCACAACGCTTTTTGAAATCCCAATCTGTCCTCTGTTGTACTGATAGAGTCAGAAAGCCAAGGTCCTAAGCTGTCAATGTCCCTCAGTTGTACTGTTGATTGGTAGACAAAATAATTAGCAGTGAATTGCATTAGGGATTCATTTTTCCTTCAATCTTATTTGCACAGTGTACTAACCTGATAATTAAAGTTAGATGATTTGAAAAACATGTTCTTCCCTAATTTTGTGTGTTTGCGGTTGAAAATTCAGACATGCAAAAATTGCACTTTTGAAAAGTATGAGCCAATTATAGATGCAGACTTGCTATCTTGTCCTTATGAATTTAGTCACTGTCGGATGGATGCATTTCTAATAATGTCTTTACAAGTCAGTGATCAACTTTTAGGTACTCAATATTCAATTTGATCATGTTTGCTGTTTCATTTTGCAATGTTACTTGAGTTCATTGTAAAACATGAAAATATTACTTGAGTTCATTTTGCAATGTTAATTGAGTTCATTGTAAAATATTTTGCAGTGGTCAAATGCCGGCATCCCTCGAATAGAATGTTAAAACATGAGAAACATAGCAGTCTTTACCATAATGATATCCAGGTAAATGAACAAGATGAAATATTTTAATAGACTCCACGCTTGTAAAACAGGAGCCCACTAATAAATGAAACCAGAAAGGACTTTGTAAAAGAAAAGAAAAATGAATAATGATCCCTACTCAGGTTAGTGAAACCACAAATGAGGGCTTCGTTCTTATATTCTCTCTATCTATCAGTCAATTATCATAAGAGGCATATGATTGACGACTGCACACATCACTTTAATCACTATACAAGAAATCTTACGGAGAGCGGTCTACTTTATCTGTTGGTCCTCTGGGTTTGAGTCAAGTATCGAAATACAATTTTTTTATTATGCTGGTTGAGGTTTTGTAAGCAATTTGGTTGCCCCCTAATGAAATGTTAAAGCATTTAAATGGAACTCGGTCATGTCAAGTGAATTTTTTGTCAAGAATGTTCGACTGATAAAAGACTGAGGTGCTCGGGTAAGTTGTGCTCTTTGTCAAAGAGCAAGTCTTTTGTCATTGAAACTGCTTCTTTTGCTATAAGGGGCAATTTTCCGTTGAGGAAATTACAATCGTTTTTGCTGCAAAATTTTTGTACTACATGGTGAGGTCAATGGCAAAACATTCTTCTCCGAATAGGTAGTTGTTTGATAATGTCTCTCTCCAACTTGCTGCAGTAAATTTTAGAAATATTTTCTTTGCTAAAAGTACAACTAAGCCACCATTCGATGTACAGTAATTAATCGTGAGCAATGCTATCTTATAAAGACTTAAATGAGAAGAAATTACTTTAGTGTATTGTACTTGTGCACATATGAACTGTCATCCCACTCCCAAATTGTCAACCTTACCCTCTGTTCCTCTTGGTTACTTTTCAATGTCCACAAGGGGTAAGCTGCCATGATGAAAGTTCAGCCAGTTCCACTTTAGATCAGTGCGTTCATCTAACTATTGATATGTGAACTGAAAAATGAAAATTCCATGTGTGGCTCTGTGTTGGCCTTCGCTCTCCATTATCCATCTTTGGTTCCCCTGTGACATAGGCACCTGTGCTTGAAAGTTCTTAAGTTTGATTTGGTTAGGTGTTAGTACTTTGATTTTGCAGTTTTTTTTTGGGAACCTAGTTTTTTCAAAATGGTGAAAACTGACTTGAGTAAAATTTAGTTTATTCTATCAGTTGCATGAGGCAGGCATTTATCTGTCTACAGCCTTAAATCTTAACATGCTTAATCTTTTGATCATGTCTATCTAGTGATGTATATTCTCAAGAGTGTGGTTTGTCTTCAGAACTCTTCTTGGCACTTGGTTATTTACTGGATCCACCTTTCAGGTTTAGGTTTTGCTGCGTTTTAATTCTTGCTGTCTGTGATTATTGTCCATCCAGTTAGTTGTCTTTGTTTCCTTTTGTTGGGTTGGTTGAACAGTTATATATTAGTATCACGTCTATCAGTGCTCTACTTCCATGATATCCTACTGGTTTGCATTTGCATTTTCAATCTGATTTCATCTGAATATCTTTGCTTGATCGTGCATTATTTGCAGCTTAAATTTCTCAAGTCGTTTAGTCTAATTTTTATGCCGGTTTAAGTTTCCATTTTGCTTGATATTATAATTAATGTTTTGCCTTGAAGGTAATTCTTCAATTTGTGGTTGATATGCTCCTTTTTTTTGGGAACTATTCTTGGCTCATTCCTTACATTGCCATCTTCTGATTAAAATTTTCTTTTTCTTTTTTTTTTCCAGCCTGTATCACTTGAATGTTTTGTCGTTTCCGTTATATGTAAAAATCAGAGAACTTCTAAAAGGCTTCCAAGCTTAGAGAAGCAGTTAATCAATGAGATTATAGTCATTCCACAAATTAACCACCAAGCAACATCATGTCGTGTGTCAAATACTGTGTTCCAACAAGTATTTATTGGTGATGTAAAAATGATACTATCTGGTTGGCAACTAAGAATGTCATTTCACTTAGGCTCTAACTTCTCATATTGTTGTTTGCATTTTTTGCTCAAATGTTTCTTTGAAGACTCTTCTGCAATTTTTTCCTATCATCATTTTTTTGGTGGTGCAGAATGAATCTTGTGATGCAATATCTCTTGAATGGTATTATGGAGGTTCTCCAGCAAGGTTCTTTTTGGACACTGACCTTTTGTGTATCTATTTTTCTGAATAGTCTAGCAAGTAAGCTGACAAAATCTAATAATTTGTCTAGTTCTGTTAAAGTTAGTTGATGAACAGCTTATCTTGTATATTTAGCATGGTGCTGCTTCCTGGTGGAAAGACGAGTAAGCGGTTAAATTGCAGCGGTCATGCTCAGTTCATGTAAATATAAATATTCTCTAAAAGGGCAGTTTCTTTCAGTTCAATCGTTTTACGTTCAATATTTGAATTTTGCATATCCTGCTATTTTTCATTTCGTATTTTTTGTTGCCCTTTTGTATGTTATCCAAGTCATGGGCTTTAGAAATCATGAATCTGCTGCAGAATTTGCAATCGTTCCTTTTGGTTTCTTTTCAGCGGAACAATTGAATGCAGTGTCACACTGCATTTAGCAAGACACTTGATACATAATGACTGAAACAGAAAAAGAATCAGACTTGATGAACAGCTTGTCTAACAATAGCCATTCAGGTAAATAAAGCCGTGCGTGCATCTTTTACCATAGTAGTGAAATTTTTCGAAGTATTAGCTTTACCTGATGCAGTCCATTTAAAACTTTTGATCGAGGGAGAAAATTTAGTTACTATATATTTGCAGAGAATTTCTCTAATCCCTACAAGATGCTGATGTTCACAAATCCAATGAAAGTGATTCGAATTATTAGGAGAAATAAAGAAGAGAAGATGACTTGTGAAATTGGAGAACTGAAAACCTCGACCATAGAATTGGCATGAAACTACAAGCAGCAATATGAAGAAACTTTTAATAAGGAGGTGCATCTCAGTGAAATTCTTTTTTTTTTTCTTTGATAGAACAGATCATTTTATTCAATAAATCTACACTAACAACAAAATACATTAAACAAAATGACATCGATACATATAGATCTAAAATCAATAAATATGATAGATTGAAGAAATTAATACAAATAAAAATAATATTGATGTTTTTAAATATCTTCCAATACATCTCTGGATGTCTTGTGACAGTGAAATCTGATTAAAATTGGTTCAAATCTAAAAAGAAATCTAAGAAAAATTTAGATTTGACAATAGTAGAGAAATTGCAATATGAGAGACTGGATTCTAGATTTAAAAAATCTCAAATTTCATAAAAAAGACCAAAACCAAAAAAAAAAGTGTCATAAGGAAAAACTGTGAGGAGCTGAATTTTTATTTTATTTTATTTTATTGGTTTATCTAATTATTTATTTATTCATTTGCTCCAATTAATTTATTTCATTCATTTTAATTGCATTTGCTCCAATTAATTTATTTCATTCATTTTAATTGCATTTGCATGGTACATTACCTTATTTTTATAATTTTAAAACGTTTGCTTCTAAAGTTAATTTTTCTGTCGCGTGATTAGTGAAGATAAGTGAATATACGTTTTTCGAGGCGATATTTGGTCGGAGAGTGCAGTGATCTTGGAGAATTAAGGATGATCAATGATAAACTAAGAAAAGCTAATTGAGAGATTAGAGGTGAATGAGTTGAATTAAACTCAATTAGGAGTACTAATGGGCAGTATTCAATAGTTGACTTTTGCACCCTCAAAAGTAGCTTTATGTCCCATCTTTCTTTCATCCAAATCACTTCACCAAAATTACACACAAACTCTCTCTCTTCTCCCTCCCTTGGCCGAGCACTTCATCCTCCATTTAGCCAAGCAAGTTTCAATCTTTCTTCTTCATTTTGCTCACTAAAACTTGCTCCAACTTTGCTCATTCTCTTGGATCATCCTCAAGCTTAGTAGGAGACTTGGAGGAGGAGAGATTCTTGGTGATTTAGAGCTTGATTTTTTGTGATTTTGCTTACTACTCTTGGAGGAAAGGTACCCTCAAAGCTCCCATTTTTCTTTCCTCTTTTAGTAGTTTTTAGTTAGTTTTAGCTAGATAAGCTTGGGTTTTTTGATGGGTTCCATGAACCTTGACATTAGGTAGATGCCTTGAGGAAGATTGTTAGGTAGTGGCCTTGAGGATTTCTTGTTTGTTTGGTTATTGTTTTAGTGATTTCTAGCTTGGTTTTGGTGTGAGATTTGGAGGGAAAAATTTGAAGAGAAAGAAGAAGCAAGGCTGTCCGATTTTTGCTGGTTTATTTTCCTTGTTTTAATTTTGAAATTTGTGGTTATATTGACGCAAAAATGCTTGCAACATGTTGGGTTATATGTGTGTAAATTATCTTCCAAAAATCACTTCATTTGGATGAGTTTAAGTTAAGCTAAAGGGAGGAAATCAAACCGGAAATTTCTGATAAGTGCAGCCGACCAGTGTGTACTAAACATCACATTATTTTTCATACAGGAGTCAAAATCAAGTGCCGTTTGTGGCATATGAAACTAGACTCCGAGGGCTTTCTAACTATATAAAATGTACTTGCTAGTTCGTTTTCTATGAGTGGCAGTGAACCGGCAAAATTGGCTGTTTTCACTCACTGTTTTAACCGAGAGTCAAGCACAGCTGTAGTTTGTAACTCATTTTCACTCCCCTTACGAAATGAATTTGAAGACAGTCTCTTCTAATGATTTTTAGTACTTTGAATCTAGTTTTCAACGCCATAAATCACACTAATTTTGGACTTGTATAGCCTTAGTTATGACCTGACTTAGAAACTGTGTCGGGTGTTCCAAAGTTGGAATTTCGTGAACTAGGTTTCAAAAACCAGCTTTCATAAAACTGTTGTATCTTGGTGTAGAAAAATCCAAATTGAGTTCTGTTTATTGCGTTTGAAACTAGACTTGGAGTTCTTTCAGTGGTATAAATTTCAAGGGTTAGTTTGATTCCTATGAATTTTGCCAAATTTTCGAACTTCACTGAAATTCAAGACTGTTTTGCCCTGTCCTTACTAAAGCAGCGATTTGGAACAAAAATTTGACTGATTTCTGATTTGAATCTGGTAAAAGTTTATTCTAGAGAGTTTTATCATTGAGTCTATTTTCTAACGGTATAAGATTTACAAATTTTGGACTTATGGAACTCAAGATATGATTTTCCAAAGAACGTTGTCAAAACTGAGATTTTCCTCATAAAGTGATAAAAGCTCCAAAGTGGCTTGGAAGCATTTTCTAGATTTCAAGCCTAACTTTCTTGATTATTTGCACTCATTTCATACTTGGAAAATGGATTTTATCTCCTAGTCTTATGCCCTTGGTTTCCATGAAAATGAACCATAAATTGGAGCGTTTTGCTAGAGTAATTCTTGAGAAATTTCACTAGGTTTATATTCGAAACTTGGAACTTTTAACTTCAATAATTTACTATGAAAATAAGTAACGTTTTAATAGATTTTGACTTCATAAGTTTAGAAAACGTGAACGCTCCTTTATATTCTAAAACTTGGGCATAGGATTAGAAGTTGTTAAGAGAATATAAGTATTCTTGTAGATAATAAATTAGTAAGGGTATTTTTGTAAATAGTTTGTTAGGGTTGTACTCCTATAAATACTAGTTGGTCACTCATAATATGGTGACTAGATGTTTTCCTCCAAAAATACCTGTTGACATGGTATCAGAGCAAGAGTCCTAGGGTTCAGGTTAAACATCTAGTAAAAGTACTGTTTACGCCGCACTGTTCATCGCGGGGGCACTGTTCACACCCGTACTGTTCACGGCACTGTTCACGCGGTACTGTTCACGGGGGCACTGTTCACGTCGGTATTGTTCACAGCGCACTGTTCACGAGTACTATTCACACGTCACTGTCATTTTGAGTTTTGACCCCGTCCTTGGTTTGACGTGCTATTCGTCATGGTTAAAAGGTTTGTTAATGCGGTTACTACTGATCAAATTGAATCGAGTTTTTCTGCACATGGGTCCCAGAAGACTGTTACTATATCTGAGGAAGATTATGTTAAATTCCTACAATACCAATCTACAAATCACGCATCTCTTCCCTCTGCTTCTTTAGCACAAAAAGGTAATGACTCATGGATTATTGATTCCGGAGCTACTGATCATATGTCAGGTACCTCTAAAATTTTTTCTAATTTTCAAGAGTCTACTCCCTTTTCTCATGTTACTTTAGCTGATGGATCTACCACTAAAGTTAAAGGACTAGGCACTGTAGAAATTAATCCATCACTTCCGCTGTCTTCTGTTCTTTACGTACCCAATTTGCCTTTTAATCTAATGTCTGTTAGTAAGCTCACTAAATTTCTACAGTGTACTCGATATGTACTCGATATGTATTCGATATGTACTCGATATGTACTCGATATGTACTCGATATGTTAAGTGAAGTTGGAATGTTAGGTTGCCGACCTGTGGATACTCCTATGGATCCCAATGTGAAATTAGCAGGAGATCAAGGTGCATTACTTGATGATCCTAAGCAATATCGAAAACTTGTGGGTAAATTAAATTATCTCACTGTAACGAGACCTGACATTTCGTTTGCAGTAAGTGCTGTGAGTCAATTTCTTGACACCCCTCGTACTAGTCATTGGGATGCTGTTATACGGATTCTCAGGTATCTTAAGAGTGCTCCTGGAAAAGGGTTGCTGTATCAAAATCATGGACACACTGATATTGAAGGATATAGTGATGCAGATTGGGCTGGTTCTGCCTCAGATCGAAGATCGACTACAGGATATTGTGTGTTTGTTGGTGGTAATTTAGTGTCGTGGAAGAGTAAGAAGCAAACAGTTGTATCCAGATCAAGTGCAGAATCTGAATACCGCGCTATGGCTCACACTGTGTGTGAGTTGGTTTGGTTGAAGAGCATGTTACTTGAACTTGGGTTTGAGCATAAACAGCCTATGAATTTAGTGTGTGATAATCAGGCGGCTGTTCATATTGCGTCTAATCCAATGTTTCATGAAAGAACAAAACATATTGAAGTTGATTGTCATTTCATTCGAGAGAAATTGCTTGACGGGGTCATCAAGACATCTCATGTACCGTCTGTAGATCAATTGGCTGATGTGTTTACCAAGAGCTTAGGGGGCTCTAGGGTGAAATACCTTTGTAACAAGTTGGGTGCTTATGATATATATGCTCCAACTTGAGGGGGAGTGTTAAGAGAATATAAGTATTCTTGTAGATAATAAATTAGTAAGGGTATTTTTGTAAATAGTTTGTTAGGATTGTACTCCTATAAATACTAGTTGGTCACTCATAATATGGTGACTAGATGTTTTCCTCCCAAAATACCTGTTGACAGAAGTTTTAAAATATGAAAATCATTTTACTTTTCTTGATTTTCGTGCCAAAAATTAAGCGTG